GGGGAGTTATTCTTCATTTACTTTTTTTATTTTAGAGTTATTTAGTTTGGAAGGAGGATAGGGGAGAGATATTGCTGTTCTATGGCAGAGCAACAGATCTGACAAATTGAGGAGGTTTCTATGCTATAGTTTGTGTTCTATCGATTTGTTACTCTAGTCTTTCCTGTTTCCCTTTTGTGTTAAAGGCAGAGTGACGTATCTCGCAAATTGAGGACGGTTTTCTTGCTATTGTTTTTGTTCTGTTGGTTTGTCACACTAGTCTTGACTTATATCTTTTTTGTGGTACTTAAAGTCAAGAAAACGTATCAACATCCAAAATAGTAGTTTGTCAAAGTGGTCGGTAAAGTTATGTATGTCACTTATCTTAGTAATGAGCATCATAAGTTTTGGGGATATTTTCTCAAAATCTTGAAATGTACAGTACAGTTACTTTGCTCTACTTTTGGACAGCAGAATACATCTGTGTGTCTATATATTACTATTGTGGTGTCAGAATATTTTGGTTTTGTACGAGAAAATTGTGTTGTCTTTTTAACCATTTAGCTTCTATATTTGTGAGGGAGTGAGTGAGTGAGGGTATGGATGAGTGTACCTGTATGGGTGAGCAGTGTATTTGTGAGTGTGTGAGTGAGTGTACATGTATGGGTGAGCAGTGTATTTGTGAGTGTGTGAGTGAGTGTACATGTAAGGGTGAGTAGTGTATTTGTGAGTGCATTTGTGACATATAAGTGTGAGTACGTGAGTCGGTGCAGCTTGTGTCAGAAGTAAAGTAAAACTTGTTTTTTTCTCTGGTCCCCACAGGCGTGAAGCGAACCCCGAACACAGAGATCACAAAACAGCCGCGTTCTTGGTACTCCATGCTGTGTAACAGATGGCTCTCGCTGTTTGGGGTGAGGCAACACAGAACTTTTGGTTAACCCTATCCGTACGCCGTACGCCCTGGGATATTTTGTACCCCCGGGGTTGTATTCTTCTCATTTTAGAATATTTCTAGTACGAAGATCTCTTTGAAACTTTTAGTATTTCTCAAAAAATCGTTTTGACAGACTGCTATGCAAAGCATACGGATCGGATAAACGAATAAATTTCCTCTTTAGAAAGTCGTGGCACAGAGTTTCCCACGTCGTATGGATACGATAGTAAAACACGACATACGGATACGGTTAAGTGGTGGCCCAGAGTTCCCCACGTCGAATGGATACGATAGTAAAACACGACATAAGGATAGGGTAAAGTGGTGGCACAGAGTTCCCCACGTCGTATGGATACGATAGTAAAACACGACGCACGGATACGGTTAAGTGGTGGCCCAGAGTTCCCCACGTCGAATGGATACGATAGTAAAACACGACATAAGGATAGGGTTAACACAGGGGAGGGGGGTTACAGGGGAAGGAAGGAGGGAGGGGGTGAGAGTGGATATAGAGAGAAGGGGATCCACTGAGGGGAAGGAAGGGATTCAGAAGGGCGGTGGGATTCAGGGAGGGGGTGGAGATTCAGGAAGAGAAGGGAAGGATTCACTAATGGGAGAAGGAAGAGATATAAAGAGGGGGGGGGGGTTACATGTGTTTCTGATTCTACGCTGAGGGTTATCTTCCACATTGTTCTCTCCACAGACCCTGATCTGTCTGATCATCATGTTCACTATCCAGTGGATCTTTGCCCTCATCGAGCTCACCGTGTTCCTGCTCATCTACTTCTACATCGGCCGCGCCAGCCCCGGATACTTCCCAGGTCATATTTGGTTTCTTGGGGATGATGGGTTGGGGTTTTTTTGCGGTTTTTTGCGGTTTTTTTGTTTCTGTGTTCTGTTGTTTTATTTTGGTCTGTTTATTTGGTGTTGTTGTTGATTGTTTGGGGGTTT